TATTTTTGAACTCAACTTTTAACAATGATGGCCATTCTCAAACTGATTTCCAAAGAATTCTAACAACTAGAACAGAATTTTTGTAGAGGCAGCCTCTATTTGGATTACAAAGATAGATTCTTCCTGCTGGAATAGAAGCTAATTCATAAAATATTAATTTTATCTGGCTGGATCAAGAGAAGTAAGCAGGAAACAAAATACAAATTCTGCTAAGGGGCTAGAGGAAAATTAACAGAGAAGAGATGTGGAGGAAGATGGAGGGGAAAAGTTCCTACACATTTTGCTCAATGACATATGATTTCATCATAGCCCTGAGAGCTAATGAAATGTGTGAAACAGATATGAGAATCTATGTGCTTTCCACTAATCCAATATTGAAGAGATATTCATAAATGTAAGAGTTCCTTTTACACTTTTCTATGTTTGGTTTTATTTCTCCTAAGGAAAATGAGTTTATTATTGTTGTTTTTAAATTAAAAATGTTTTAGAATCTCCTTAGCTTTATTTTCTGTAAATAGCAATATATGTAACCCTTACACATTGAGCAAAAGCTCTCTGGAGGAGCCCTCAATAACTTAAAAGAGTGTCAAGGAATCCTAAAACCAAAAAGCAATGAGAACTACTGTCCTAAATGATGATTCAATGTCTTTACTTCACCCATTTTCCACAGCCAAGAAATGTGCGTTAGACATGCTTTAAAAGTTTCAATAGTTCTCCTAAATCTACTACATGAAATGATAATGATATCCTCTATCGTCTCTTCCCTGATGACTGAGCTGGTAAAGAATCTGCCTGCAATGCGGGAGACCAGGGTTCAATCCCTAGATTGGGAAGATCCCCTGAAGAAGTGAAAGGCTACCCACACCAGTTTTCTGGCCTGAAGAATTCCATAGACTATAGAGTCCATGGGGTTGCAAAGAGTCGGACATGACTGATAGACTCTCGTTATCAACTCTACAACCTATTTTTCCAGCTTCATTTTCCCTTACTCCTCTTTATCATACATTTTAATCTACTCAAAAATTTCCTGCCTTTTGCAATGTCTTTTCTGTTTCACAAGTCTCTAATATCTGTATATATAAATTCTATACTGCTTTTTACATGGTCATGCCAAATCTATACCCTATACAACTTCCTTAGTACACTTTCTGTCCTACAATCCTATTCTGTTTATTTTTTTCTTGCTAGTCACTTATATTCCCATGTATTTTTATCCTAATTGCTTTTTCCCACTGACTCCCTCTTTTATCATATGTATCCATTCTATCGTACCAATGACTTTTAGTCACAAATGAAATCTATCATTGACCAGTTAACTGGTTATCTATCCATTAATCAAGTATGATTTAAACATCTCTCAATTCTCCTAAAAACTAAATGTTTATACTTCACTAATTTACATTTTCAACCCATTCACCTGCTTATATATTTATCCAAGTAAACTAAACTAAAAACATCCAGAATAATATTTAAATGTGGCCTAGAACAGCACCAAATTCCAAAAGCACTTAATGGAAAAGTCCACTTACCCAGAATGACTTGGGAAAGGTACATTATTCTAGTTGATATAATGGGTTAATTAAAATTCACATATATAGGGCTTCACTGGTGGTCCAGTGTTTAAGAATCCACCTTGCAAAGCAGGGGACACCGGTTTGAGATCAGAAAGATCCCACATGCTGTGGAGCAACTAAACCTGTATGCTGCAACTACCGAAGCCCTCACATCCCAGAGCCTGTATTTTGAAACAAGAGCAGCCACTGCTATGAGAAGCCCCGTGCACCGTAACTAGACAGCAGCTCCCACTTGCCAAAATTAGAGAAAGCCGACACGCAGCAATGAAGCACAGCCAAAAATTAAAAACAAATTTTTAAAAGATTCATATATGTACACAAGTTAATAAGAAACAGGAATGCTATAAAATGAACTTAACACAGAAACATTGTTCATCACTTGACACTTCTGTAATTCAGAGGGTAAGGGCACATTAGGATCTTGCAGTGTTGTCACTAAGAACATCAAAAATCAGAATAGAGAAGTAAAACAACTTCAAGGACACAAACATTGTCTTATACTTCCTTTATGTGCTCCATTGCAACTGGCAGAGAACTGGGCATATAAGAAAGTCATAAACACTTGAATTTCATACATAACCAATTTGTTATTAACTTCTTAAGAGAGAATGCATAATGTATCTTCCAAAACAGTAAGAGGAAATCCAACTTTGCAGTAATTTCAATCCTAGGCTGAAGGAGAATTTTTAAAACTACTTTTTGATGATGAACTATCAATATTTTCATGAGTTTTTCACATGTAAAATAATGGCAATGTATCTAATTAGGTGGCTGATTGTCAAGGATTAGAACACATGGAGGAAAGAACTATCAGGCTTGGTCCAGAATACTTCAAGTACAGGTTAGAAGTTTAAATATCTTGGCTGGAGCCAAAACTGCTGTGAAGAGACACAAATGAGGGCTTGAATGCTATGGCCTGTGTGATCAAACTGGAAAGATCTGAATAATGCTACTGTGTACTAAACAAACAGCTTTACAAATTAACACTTTGAAAAATAAAAGCCAAGATTAGAATTTTCAACAGAGACCTAAAAATCATAACTGACATGGCATACCTGAAAAATAACCAAATAAAAATTCAAGAATCAAAAAATAACCAAAAATTAAGAATTCTTCAATGGACCACTTTAATAGCACATTGGACAAAACTAAGGAGTGAATCAGTAAAGATGAAACCATTCAGAACAAAGCTCAAGAATAAAAAAATACAGAAGAGAGAACAAGAGACAAGTTTACAGTGAGAAGGTATTATGTGCATTTAGAGTCCCAGAATTAGAAAGAAAAGGACAGAGGCAATATTGGAAGAGATAGTAAGAATTTCTCCCCTAAGTGGTAAAATAGTCTACAAGTTTAAGAAGTTTATTAAATTCTAAGCAAACTAAGCAAAAAGAAACCCAAATCTAGATACAAAGTAAATGTGCTGAAAACTGCAAGATAAAATGTGTGAGCAGCCAGTGAAAAAAATAGGAATTACATCCAAAAAGCTACAGTTAGAATAAAACTGACTTCCCTATAGCAATACACAAAAACAGTATGTCCTAAGTTGTATTTATTCCAACAAAGCAAGACTGGTTTAACATGTATAAACCAGATTTATAAAAATCAGCATAATTTATGACACTAATAGGATAAAGAAAAATCATATTATCTCAAAAGATGCATGAAAAATCATTTGATGAACTGTAATACCTATTAATGAAAAAAAATCTTACAAATTGGAAGAAACAGAAGAGTTAATAAAGCTTATCTCCTAAAACCTACAATGATCACACTTAATGAAAGCTTTCCCTCTGCAAAATAGGTCAGACAAGGTTGGCTATATCACTATTTTCATCATCCTGGCAGTGTTAGCCAGTTCAGCAAAGTGAAGTGACGTCAAAGTCATTCAGTTGCATCCGATTCGTTGCAACCCCATGGACTATACGGTCCATGGAATTCTCTAGGCCAGAAAACTGGAGTGGGTAGCTTTTCCCTTCTCTAGGGGATCTTCCCAATCCAGGGATCAAACCCAGGTCTCCCACACTGCAAGTGGATTCTTTACCAGCTGACCCACAAGGGAAGGCAAGAATCAAAAAGGAAGAGACAAAAAACATCATTAACACAGGATATGATCTCAGATATAAAAAATTCAAAATTAGAATCTTCACAGAAAACTCAATTGTCTTTCCATATATATTTTTTCCCTATATTAGCCACATCTTTTATAATAGCAACAAAAAAGAGCCAGGACTAAATCTAACAAAAGATGAGGAAGATCTCTATGAAAGTGAAAGTGAAGTTGCTCAGTTGTGTCCGACTCTTTGTGATCCCATGGACTGTAGCCTACCAGGCTTCTCTGTCCATGGTATTCTCCAGGCAAGAATACTGGAGTGGGTTGCCATTTCCTTCTCCAGGGTATCTTCCCGACCAAGGGATCGAACCTGGGTCTCCCGCATTGCAGGCAGATGCTTTAACCTCTGAGCCACCAGGGAAGCCCCAAGGTCTCTATAGAGGACGACAAATAAATTATCTTCTACTGAGAGATATTATCGAGAGAAATCAAAAGCAAGTGAAAAAATACGCTACATTCATGGAGTGGAGACTCAATACCATAAAAGATCTCCCCAGATTTATCAGACTGAATACAATCCCAGTCAAACTCCAAACAGGTTTTTTTGTGTAGAGGGAGGAACTGGAGAAGATAGTATGATAAGCTAACTCTAAAACTCACATGAAAGTGTCAAATGTCAGGAAAAGGCAAGTTATAAAGCCTCAGAACAACAGAATGATATTAGAGCAAGGATAAACAGAACAGAATAATAGGCTGTGAAAAAGACCCACCCATATATGATCACTGATTTCTGACAAGGTGGCATATTAAAATGGTGAAGAAAAGATTATCTTTTCACTTTGTACTGGGACAGCTGGATACCCTTATGGAAAGAAATGAAATTGGATTCCTATCACATACCATTGGAGGAGGAAATGGCAACCCACTCCAGTATTCTTACCTGGAGAATCCCATGGACAGAGGAGCCTGGCAGGCTGCTGTCCATGGGATCACAAAGAGTTAGACATGACTGAAGCACCTGAGCACAACCACTTCACATCCCATACACATCAGATTCACTCAACCACTCGGAAAACAAACGTAATATTGAGTAAAGGAAGCCAGACACAAAATAATTCATATTGTGTGATTGGTTTTAGGTCAATTTAAAAGGAAAAGGCAATGCAGCACATGACCTAAGGCTCTGTCATCAGAAAGCAGACTTGGAAGAGGAGGAATTCGAGGGAAATCAGCACTGTTTTATTTATTGACCTGAGTAAGCAGCTGCAAGTTTGCAGTACAGTGATTTATCAAGCCATTCTCTTACATTTTATGTACTTTTCTGTAAGTCTATTGTATTTCATACCTAAACGGTTTTAGGGAATTAAACAGCTTACCCTGAAACTAGCATCTGCCCATCATGGGAAAAAGCACAAGCCAGAACAGGAGCACAGTGTCCAGTCAGTGTACTTTTATATTTTAATTCAAAACCTGCAAATAACAAGGTGAGAAAAGTTAGAAAGCTGATTGTGCTTAGAATTTATTTTTAAGTAAAAACTATTTTATTTGTTCAATAAAATATTGGAATGTTTAAAGGACACAAAGATGGGGAAAAAAAAATCCTCACGCAACTCAAGTATCGGAATGCACTGTAATTAAGTGGTTTCAGAAGTTCAGTAATGGGTAAAGAAAATGGTGGGGTCAGCAAACACTAGACAGAGGGGATTAAAATCAAATTATTTTTAAATTTAAAAATTCTAAACTTAAATGAATCAAAATTTTAAACTATACTTCAATCTTGGTATCTTAAACACACACACACACCACACACCAACTGCCCAAATGCCTAAAAAGAATCAAATGCCTGTAGTTTTAAATATCTGGATTAAGATATCTTCTCACTTCATAAATTAAAAATAGTAATTTATGTATCTTAAAACTCCAATATATCCTATAAAATCCCAACAAAGTATGGTAGCAGTAAAAATGCTTTTTATGCCTTCTATAATTACTGAAAAGGAATATCACAACTCTTTCAAAGATAATTGCAAAACAACTGAAGATTTAATAAAATAAACTTGCAATAAGGTTCTACAAATTGGTCACATTCTCAAGTATAAGACCCATTTGTCTTATCTACTCCTCCCTACAAACAAGCAATTAAGATTAGGTGCAAATAATGCTAAATGTTTTATTAAAAGGCTCTAACTACACATTTATAAACTGTTACATTTTTTATAGAATCAGTATAAAAGACATTTTCCCGAAAATGTAGGAAAAGCTTTACTTCTGAACAATTACTAAAGATACGTTGTACTGAGAACATCCACATACATGACTATATTTTTGGTTCTCTATAGATAATTTTTACTTCGATATTAAAAGAGATAGGATAAACCAGAGAAATAACAGAACACTTCTTAGCAGCTGTCATTGAAAACATTAAAAGAATTACTGCATGTAACCTAAAAGGCAATAAAGTAACTAATTTCCACATATAAAAATGTATTTCCTGGTAACAGACCCTTCTCTATACACAAGCAAAATGACAAAGATTCTCTCAACCAAACTACCCAGGCTATTCTGAGTGGCCTCCTGGATCAGGCCCTGACCTGGGCCAACAAAGACTTAAATTAACATGGTCTCCAACAGTTTAAGGTTGCACTCCTAGCATGATCCTAGTCCCCTTACAGCTGGGGACTAAGAAAATTCAAGGCTGCAGTCCCTCTTCTGTTTCCCTTCTTCTGTGAGAGGGGAGGAACCTAACTTCCCTAAGTGCCCATTAGCAAATCCAGACGAGTTTCATATGGACCAATTCCCAGATTCCTGCTTTTTGTAATTTTGTCATTTGCTAGATGCCACACAGGTCCCATTTACCTGCACTTTATTCCCTCTTTAACATACACAGTCACCTCTGTATAAATTGAAGTTGAGTTCAGTTCATGCTGGACTTTTTTCCCCACTGCAATAGTACATTACTGATTAAAATCTGTCCCACCACTTTAACTAGTGTTCAACTTGATCTCTGACAGTGACTTTATAAACAATGAAACACAAGGCATGATTTAGTTGCCACTTATTAGGTGACAATATTTTTAGGCCTCTGAAGCAAGATGGCCAACTGATCAAAAAATTTCAGAGTTTCCATAAAAAGATAACGAAGGAATTTATAAAAACAAATTCACATCAATGAAGAAAAGGGGAAGGGTGTGAAATGTCATCAGGAAATGAGAAACCAAAATCAATTTTGGGAAGGCAGATGCAAATTAATCAATGAGGAAGTATAGAGAAGTAACACCTTAGAGTGCAAAATGAGGGGGCTACAGTCAAGAAGAAAGCTACCTTTCTCTAGAAAACCCCAAAAGACTTATAATTATTTACAGAAAACCCCAAAAGACTTAGGACTTATTAGCAGTCAAGAAAAAGGAAAGTCAGAATGATACAGGCATGAAAACATAAAAAATTTACTGAAGGTCTGTTTATGAAACATTATCTCCCATCCCTCTCTGAACACCCCACCCATAGTATGCTGCATGAAAGCCAGATGCTTCTCCCCAGGAAGAAGTAAAACAATGACTGGGGAGCTCCCTGGTACCTCCAGGGCAACACAAACACCCACATCCTCCAATCCCCCAACCCTTTCCCAATAAGGGCCAACAGTCCACCTCTTTATCCAAAAGGGAAACCAGCAAGTACAAACCACCACCGTGTGCACAGAGGCCCTAAATTTCTTATTATTTAATTCTTGAAAGTAAATGGGAAACTAAGGATCATCAAGCAGTTAAAGAAGGTAACCACATGAAAGAGATCAGGATAAACAAAAAAGGGCCCAAGAGCAAAGTTGATCGGGAAACAAAAGAGAAATTAAAACCAAAACAAAAAGCCTCTAATTGGTATCCTGAGAATTTAGAGAGGATCCTGCATTCATAAAGTAAATGGAGGACACTAAGAAAAAGAAACAAAAAAGATAAGTTTTTGGAAACTGAAAGTATTATTGATGGATGGGATTAAAATGTTCAAAAAAGGTTAAAAGATAAAGCTAAGGAATTTTCTCCTATGACAGGAAAAAGACAGAGATAAATGTGGGGGCAGAAGGGAAAGACACAGGAAATCAAGTCAGGAGCCCACCACTCAACGGGAATATAAAAAGAGAAGTGGAGAAGAAATTAAAGAATTAGCATAAATGAATACCAAATTAGCATAAAGAAATACCAAAAATGAAAGACATAGCTTTCTGATGGTAGAATCACCCGAAATAAAAGTACAGTGCAATTCATGTTTATGTTTGACAGAAAAACAACAAAAGGCTATAAAGTAATTATCCTTCAATTAAAAAAAAAAGGTACAGTGCATGGTGGAAACACCCACACAAGTTCCAAAAACTAACTACACTGAGTGAATTTAAAACGTAGTATAAAAAATATTTATGGACATGGAAAACCATCAAAAAAAAAAAACCCCTGAAAACAAAACAAGTACAAAGTGGAATTTTTTCTGGTTAAGCAGGAATGTGTGTAGTGGTAATGACAAGGTCATTATCGGTAGTGTGCATACAATTTCTAAATCATGTGTATGCATTACTTTAATTAAAAGTTCTTAAAATACATTTTTATAATCCCATTATGATATCTAGGGTACCTTAAGTTAAAAGATTAATTAAAACAGAAACTTTAACTGCATCACAAAAAATCAGTTTAGAGAACTACTAGGTGAATACATACCTAAGATATGGATAAAAGAAATAATCCAAATTTTGATCTGGCAATCTTGACCACATGATGCCAACTGAAAGAACTGAAGACCTTGTTCTCCACCTAAAAATGTAAATTTGTTAAAATAAATGTACAAGAATTGATAAAACATTTAAACCAAAAAATTTTCAACTTTAGACTGAGGTCTGTTAATATATTCATTTAACCATATTCACAAGCAATATTAAATATATTAATTTATACCATAAACTGAAATGTCAAAGAATTTCTTTTAAACAAGGTTCTTCAAAAGATTATATGACTGTAGCCCCTGAAGTTGTGACAAAACACCTTTTTATTTACCTTCCACTAAAGATATAACAAAGCTAGTGGAGGTGATGGAATTAGGTTGAACTATTTCAAATTCTAAAAGATGATGCTATGAAAGTGCTGCACTCAATATGTCAGCAAATTTGGAAAACTCAGCAGTGGCCACAGGACTGGCAAAGGTCCGTTTTCATTCCAATCCCTAAGAAAGGCAATCCCAAAGAGTGCTCAAACTACTGCACAATAGTACTCATCTCACACTCTAGTAAAGAAATGCTCAAAATTCTCCAAGCGAGGCTTCAGTAATACATGAACCATGAAATTCCAGATGTTCAAGTTGGTTTTAGAAAAGGCAGAGGAACCAGAGATCAAATTGCCAACATCTGGTGGCAAGAGAGTTCCAGAAAAACATCTACTTCTGCTTTATCGACTATGCCAAAGCCTTTGACTGTGTGGATCACAATAAACTGTGGAAAATTCTGAAAGAGATAGGAATACCAGAGATGGGAAGACCACCTGACCTGCCTCTTGAGAAATCTGTATGCAGGTCAGGAAGCAACAGTTAAAACTGGACATGGAACAACAGACTGGTTCCACATAGGAAAAGGAGTACGTCAAGGCTGTATATTGTCACCCTGCTTATTTAACTTATATGCAGAGTACATCATGAGAAACGCTGGGCTGGAGGAAGCACAAGCTGGAATCAAGATTACTGGGAGAAATATCAATAACTTCAGAGATGCAGATGACACCACCCTTATGGCAGAAAGTGAAGAAGAACTAAAGAGCCTCTTGATGAAAGTGAAAGAAGAGAGTGAAAAAGTTGGTTCAAAGCTCAATCTTCAGAAAACTAAGATCATGGCATCCAGTTCCATCACTTCATGGCAAATAGATGGGGAGACAGTGGCTGACTTTTTATTTTTGGGGGGCTCCAAAATTACTGCAGATGGTGACTTCAGCCATGAAATTAAAAGACGCCCCTTGGAAGCAAAGTTATGACCAACCTAGACAGCATATTAAAAAGCAGAGACATTACTTTGCCAACAAAGATCCATATAGTCAAGGCTATGGTTTTTCCAGTAGTCATGTATGGATGTGAGAGTTGGACTATAAATAAAGCTGAGCACTGAAGAATTGATGCTTTTGAAGTGTGGTGTTGGAGAAGACTCTTGCAAGTCCCTTGGATTGCAAGGAGATCCAACCAGTCCATCCTAAAGGAGATCAGTCCTGGGTGTTCACTGGAAGGACTGATGTTGAAGCTGAAACTGCAATACTTGGGCCACCTGAAGCAAAGAGTTAACTCATTGGAAAAGACCCCAATGCTGTGAAAGATTGAGGGCAGGAGAAGAAGGCGATGACAGAGGATGAGATGGCTGGATGGCATCACCGACTCAATGGACATGAGTTTGAGTAAACTCCAGGAGGTGGTGATGGACAGGGAGGCCTGGTGTGCTGCGGTTCATGGGGTCACAAAGAGTCGGACACGACTGAGCATTTCAACTGAAATATGTAACTCAATGCTGAAAAGGCCAATATTGAGCCACTAAGCCTAGTGTACCCTCCAATGCAACTTTAAATACTGAGGTTAGCACTGATGTAAAAAATTTAAGATGTTAGTTATGGTATGTGTTAAATGCTTAATTACTCCCAAGTTAACTTTTTCTAGGATATATTCACTTGTTAAAAGCTTAGTCTATAATTTATATAGAATACTGAGAGACTGTTTTCCCATCTGATTAATCAAGACAAATGCTAGAATTACACATGTGATGCTAGTAGTAAAGAGCCCACCTGCCAATGCAGGAGACTTAAGAGATGTGGGTTCAATCCTATGTGGGGAAAAGCCCATGGAGGAGAGATGGCAATCCACTCCAGTATTCTTGCCTGAAGAATCCCATGGACAGAGGAGCCTGGCAGGCTACCGTCCATGGGGTTGCAGAGTTGGACACAACTGAAGCAACTTAGCACCCATGTATGCACACAAAATATCATCAATTCAGTCCAAAAGATTTGGTGAAACGTATTTCACAAGTCAAGTGGGCCTTAGGAAGCATCACTTCAAACAAAGCTAGTGGAGGTGTGCTATTTCAAGTCCTAAAAGATGATGCTGTGAAAGTTCTGTGCTCAATATGCCAACAAATTTGGAAAACTCAGCAGTGGCCACAGGACTGGAAAAGGTCAGTCTTCATTCCAATCCAAAGAAAGGCAATGCCAAAGAATGTTCAAACTGCTGCACAATTGCACTCATCTCACACACTAGCAAAGTAATGCTCAAAATTCTCCAAGCTAGGCTTTGACAGTATGTGACCTGAAAACTTCCAGACATTCAAGCTGGATTTAGAAAAGGCAGAGGAACCAGAGATCAAATTGCCAACATCCACTGGATCCCAGAAAAAGCAAGAGAATTCCAGAAAAACATCTGCTTCTGCTTTTATTGACTATGTGAAAGCCTTTGTGTGGATCATAATAAACTGGAAAATCCTGGAAGAGATTGGAACAGCAGACCACCTAACCTGCCTCCTAAGAAACCTGTATGCAATTCAAGAAGCAACAGCTAAAACTAGACATGGAACAAACTGGTTCGAAATTGGGAAAGAAACAGGTCAAGGCCGCATATTGTCACCCTGCTTATTTAACTCGTATGCTAAGTTCAGTTGCTTAGTCGTGTCCGACTCTTTGTGACCCCATGGACTGCAGCATGACAGGCTCCCCTGTCCATCACCAACTCCCAGAGTTTAATCAAACTCATGTACATCATGCAAAATGTCAAGATGGATGAAGCACAAACTGGAATCAAGACTGCCATTATCAATAACCTCAGATATGCAGATGACACCACAGTTATGGCAGAGAGGTAAGAGGAACTAAAGAGCATTTTGATGAAGGTGAAATAGGAGAGTGAAAAAGTTGGCTTAAAACTTAACATTCAAAAAACTGAGATCACAGCATCCAGTCCCATCACTTCATGGCAAATAGATGGGGAAACAATGGAAACAGTGACAGATTTTGTTTTGGGGGGCTCCAGAATCACTGCAGATGGTGACTGCACCCATGAAATTAAAAGATGCTTGCTCCTGGAAGAAAAGCTATGAAAAACCTAGACAATGTATTAAAAAACAGAGACATTACTTTGCTGACAAAGGTCCATCTAGTCAAAGCTATGGTTTTTCCAGTAGTCATGTATGGATGTGAGAGTTGGACCATAAAGAAGGCTGAGCGCCAAAGAACTGATGCTTTTGAACTGTGGCTGGAGAAGACTTTAGAGAATTCCTTGGACTGCAAGGAGATCAAACCAGTCAATCCAAAGGGAAATCAACTCTGAATATTCATTGGAAGGACTGATGTTGAAGCTGAAGCTCCAATACTTTGGCCACCTGATGCATAGGAGCCAACTTATTGGAAAAGACCCTGATCTTGGAAAAGACTGAAGGCAGGAGAAGGGGACGACAGAAGATGAGATGGTGGATGGCATCCCCAACTCGACGGACATAGTTTGAGTGAGCTCCAGGAGGTGGTGATGGACAAGGAAGCCCAGCGTGCTGCAGTTCATGGGGTCACAGAGTCGGATATGACTTAGCAACCGAACTGAACTGATTACACAAGTAGGTCCTTCCAGTGGAAAAGAATCAGGCTCAGTGGTAAAGAATCTGCCTACAATGCAGGAAAGATGGCTTCAATCCCTGCGTTGGGAAGAACCCCTGGAGAAAGAAATGGCAATTCACTCCAGTATTCTTGCCTGGGAAATCCCACAGACAGAGGAGCCTGGCAGGGTACAGTTCAGGAGGTCACAAGAGTCGGACACAATTTAGGGAGTAAACAAAAACAACAATTACACAACTTAGGCAAAGTAATCAGTTAAATTTGGTGTTACCAAAAAAAAAAAAAAAACCCACTAGTTGTTATCCTATTTAGACAGAGTATCACTATCTACCCACTAGATAAGTTCCTAAATACTTGTGGGTAATGTAAATATTAATATCACCTACTTGATTTTTTAACAATACTTTCAAGTGTTTATTAAGCACTTGTTTGCATATTTCTGTTAAGCATTTGACAGATACGACCTCTAACTCTTTACAGTTAGTCCTACAAGGCAGCAAGCATGATCATCCCAAGTTCATGGTTGAGAGCTAAGGCCCAGAGAGGAAAAGCCAGGTACGTGAGGTCGCACAGCAAGAAAAGGGTGAAACTGACAATCTTATCTATGTGGCATGTGGTCCCCCATGCCCTTCACTGATACATTAAACATACATCTTGAGGGCCACTGTGTTCCAGGCACTGGGCTAACTGGTAGCCAGTGATTCTGACCTGAGCAAAGGTTGAATAGTTGAATCTGGCTTCTTCTGCAGTAAGTGCCTTGCTCTAGTTACAGTCCCCTGGAGAGCAGACACTTGCTGAAAAAGGGCCCAAAGACCATGCCTCTAGGAAAGGAAATATGAGTTTATAATCAGGCAGGGAAAATAAGAGGCTCCAAGGGCAGGAACTGAGGAAAGGCAAAAAGATGAGATTCGGGACTTCCCTGGTCATCCAGTTCGCCAACTCAATTTTATATGAATTCCACCTAATATCACAAGTCAAAGGAAGTTTTAGCACTCTTATACAGTAAAACTCAATTAAGAAACCTGAATACCTATCTTAAGATTGCACTCTGGTTTTGCAAGTATTTAGTATGTGGTATTTAGTTTATACACCTAGGTATGTAAACTGAACTTTTCCTATGGACGCCCTGTTTTGTTGGAAGCACATATACTTTAAGATACAACAAATTAAAATTCCTTTTTCACTGAAAGTTTTTCTAACTGTAAGAGACTTTTCCACATTTCCACAGAATTTTTGCTTTTGTAGCACAGGTTCAGCCAAAGGGCATCCTTTCTCAGAGATCTTGATGGATATAAGTCATTCTCTATAATAATCATTCAATGTTTTTAAGGCAAAAAGATATACCCCAAAATCGCTGAGTAAACTATTTATGTGCTAGACCCAATTAAGAAAACTTTTTTCCTCATTGTTTCTAGACTAAATAAGATCCTTTGATGTTGATACTGAAGTGTCTTTCAATAGTGAGAATTCAGCTAGGACAATGTAAAATTATAAAGTTTAAAATATGCCTGTGCTCAAGATCTAAATATTTTTAAGTGGACTTTTCTTCAGGAAAAATATTTAAACTGTAATAATAATCTAACCCAAATTCTATCACTTAAAAACTGGAGAGAACTGAATATTTATCCTCTAGCTCACAAACAGTATTATTTTTCCATATTTGAGCAAAATGTCACAAAGGCAGAAGACTCAATCTGTCATAAATATTTACAGATATTAACAGATACCAAATTAAGCAATAAGTTAAAAATTACATCTTTTGTCTAAGAAAATACAGTAGTTTCCACAAGTTCCTCTAATAGTCACTTTAAAGCATACGTTATTCTGTTTCAGGGAATTTACACATAAGGTTAACATCTACTTTAACAGAAGTTAAACTAAAGAAGCTACAGAGGGGACATATCAGAACTATATTGAGAAATATACTTTGAAATATACTCTAAAGGCACAGTAGGGATGTGGGTAATATACTTACTTTAGAATCTCACCTAGAATTTTCGGCCTAGTGTAGTGAACCTTTCCAGAACCTATCAGCTGCAATCCCTCTGAAGACAGAAGGATGTCCTTAACGTTAATAGTATCACAAAAATGATATTTTAATGAAAAATCTTTTCAGATAACTTAGAATCAAAAAGGAAACCTAAATTTCCTGACGTTGATATAATCCAAAGATTCACTGAATGCCTGTAAGATTTTGGAGAAGGGGTCACAGAATGGAAGAAATGGTTCTTGCCTATTACAAGCTGATCTTCTTAGAATAAAACATCATAAAACAATATATTAAATAAATCATCACAATTAAATTAGGTAGGGAGTTCAGTATAAGAATGGATTCATGAAAAGAAAACTGCTAATCTGCCATATAATATTAAAAAGTTAAGGAAACAGAAAAAAGAAATTTCAACAAATCAATAAAAGGAATCTTACTCAGTCTGCATTTCAATTGCCTAAATTTATGACAAAGAAGGCAAGAATATACAAAGGAGAAAAGACAGCCTCTCCAATAAGTAGTGTTGGAAAAACTGAACAGCTACATGTAAAGAATGAAATTAGAACATTTCCTAGTACCATACACAAAAATAAACTCAAAATGGAGTAAAGACCTAAAGGCCAGACACTATAAAATATAAACTCTTAGAGGAAAACACAGGCAGAACAGGATCTTTTCTGATCCACCTCTTAAGAGTAATGAAAATGAAGACAAAAATTAACAAATGGGATCTAATTAAACTTTAAGTCTTTTGCACAGCAAAGGAAACCATAAATAAGATGAAAAGACAACCCTCAAAATGGAAGAAAATATTTGCAAGTGAAGCAACTGATAAAGGATTAATCTGAAAAATATACAAACAGGGGACTTTCTTGGTGGTTCAGCAGCTAAGACTCCACGCTCTCAATGCAAGGGGCACAGGTTTAATCCCTGGCCAGGACACTAGATTCCACATGGTGCAAGTTTAAGGTCCTGCATGGTACAACTAAAAGATCTAAGCTCCCACGTGCCACAACTAAGACCCTGCTCAGCCAAATAAATATTTTAAAAAACAAAACATACAAACAGCTCATGTAGCTCAATTTTAAAAAAAAGCAAAACCCAATCAAAAAATGGGCAGAAGACCTAAACAGGCATTATCCAAAGACGACATACAGACAGCCAATAAACACATGAAAATATGCTCAACATCACTAGTTATTAGAGATATGCAAATCAAAACTACAATGAGGTACCACCTCACACCAGTCAGAATGGCCATCATTAAAAAAATATACAAACAATAAATGTTGAAGAGGTGTGCAGAAAAGGGAACACCCCTATATTGTTGGTGGGAATGTAAATTTGTACAGCCACTATGGAGAACAGTATGGAAATGCCTTAAAAAACTAAAAACAGAACTACGATATGACTCGACCGTCCCACTACTGGGCATATACCCTGAGAAAACTGTAATACAAAAAGACACATGCACCTCAATGTTCACTGCAGCACTAGTAACAATAGCCAGGACACAGAAGCAACCTAAATGCCCATCAACAAAGGAATGGAAAAAAAAAGATGTAGCATGTGTGTGTACACACACACACACACACACACACACACACACAATGGAATATTACACAGTCACAAAAAAGGAATAAAGCTGGATGATTTGTAGAGACGTGGATGGACTTAGAGACTGTCATACAGAGTAAAGTCAGAAAAACAAGTATCATATTAATGCATATATATGGAATCTAGAAAAATGGTAGATAATCTTATTTGCAAAGAGAAAGAGACACACACAGAAATGAAACATATGGACACCAAGGGGGGAACGGGGTTAAGAGGAGGGTAGGACGAACTGGGAGATTGGGATTGACATATATACACTGATGCTGTGGATAAAAGATAACTAATACTGTATGGCTCAGAAAACCCTACTCATTGCTCAGTTGTGACCTAAATGAGAAGGAATTCCAAACAAGAGGGGTATATAGCTGATTGATTTTGCTGTACAGTAGAAACTAACACCACACTGTGAAGCAATGATACCCCAATTGTTAAAAATCTGCTTTTCAAAGCCTATTACATTCCAGGCACTGAAAATAAAATACATCCAGGCCTACCCTACGGAGCTCTCAATCTCACAGGAAAAACACCATTAAACATAATTCATACAGACAGCTATTTAATAAAACCTCTGATACTTCACTAAGTCCTATAAAAGAAAAATAAAGCATGTAACTAAAAGACTATATAGAAATAATTCAGACTGAGTACAGGAGGTTAAGAGCAAGGGAAGCTCTTCTGAAGTGACTTTTTTTTAACCTGAAATCTAAAGGATGAATAAGAGTGAACCAGGTAAAGGGTCCACATGTAAAACCCTCAGAAACATCTTACAGACATTCAAGAAATGAAAGGAGGCCAGTGCGGCAAGTGAATGCATGAGGCCAAGTGTGACCTGTAATGAGGCAGGGAAACAGAGTATGTAAGGTACTCAAATGCTGTGTGTTTGAAACTTGGTATTTTATCTTACCTTAATCATATTTTAACATGCCACCGATGGTTCTGAAATAGGGGAGTACCAAAGCCTGAGCTGTCACAAGACAGTATTAATAACTTGCTACATACGACTACTGAACGGCTGAAGCACGACTAGCACAAACTGCGATGTGACACAATATGCACACCAGATTTCAAAGACTTCATACCCAAACACAGTAAAATATATTACTAATAATTTTAGGATTTTGAAATATTTTAGGTATATTGGATAAAGTAAAATATGTTACTAAAATTAATTTTATCTACTAGAAATTTTAAAATTTACACATGTAGCTCACATTGTATCACTACAGGACAGCACTTGTCTGGAAGGAAGATTGAAGTAGCCAGAAGTAGAACGTCCATCCTAACACAGAAGATGAAAATAAAAGAAGGCAAATTCCCAATTCACTGTATTTATTTAAAACCAAGAGTCTACAGTCAACAGTTCTCTTCTTTTTCTAAAAACTAATCTATTAACAAATGCTTTTATAAGGTTATCTTTTGAAAGATTAAATAGTGAATGAAAAATGAAACTTGTTTCCAATTTTTGTATTTCACATTTCTATTTGAATAAAAACATACAATATTTCAAAAATCACAGTGAAACCAATAGGTTTAAGGCCTCTACATTACCAAACTCAAGGAACCCAGACCTACTGTGTCAAGTTGTGTTAGCCCCTAAGTATTTTCCCAAAGAATCTGGTTTTCTCAAAAAATATTTGTGATTTCATTTTGATCAAAAACATAAAGCAGAAGGATGATTCCTTGAAGGGAATAAATTAAAAGGTCTTGTTTTACTAATGATGAAGTGAAAATGAGTAAATGAAGGAAAAGTCACACAAAAACTTCAAACAGGAATTACTATTGCTTACAAGAGTAAAATAACTAACCAGGAACTGGTTGTGAAGAAAAGTCACAGCAGGTAATTCCAAGATCATGTGCTTTTTCACTGTGCAGACACCTCATTTTATCATCCCACACTGTTAAATCTCCACATGAGGAGCCTGTGACAAAGAGGTTTCCAGGAGGAGAAAACGCACAGGCCACTAAGGAGCCATCCTTAACACTAGCACATCTGAAATAAAAGCAAAAGAAAAGGGAATTTTCATTTCAGAGCATCTTTTACTTATATTACAGTCTCTAAAAGCAACTTGATATAGTAAAAGAAAAGGATAAATGGCTAGAACTAGAGAGAAAGGGCAGTAGGTGCCTATAGAAATAAAATATCCTTTATATGCTATAAACTGAGATAGGCTTGCTAAAAGAAACAGAATTTAAACATTATCCTAACCAAATCAAAGTCTATATATCTTCATACTCTTTAAAATAGACAAAGTTTAACAAAAATAGCAACAACAACCAACGATATCGACTATAGTTGCAATTTTTTAAAAGATAAAACTATTTTTATTGAAAAGCATGTTATTGGGGGTGAAAAGCACTTTCAACATTTGTATTAAAATCATCTAGAAACAACAGTAAGGACTTTCATCTCACCTTCAGTTATAAATTCTTTATGTAAAGAAAATGCTGTGAACAACTTAAAATTATCTAGGGAAGATTAGGAAGCACTGGGCTAACAATAATTCATTATTTTATCTATTAGGAAAAATAACCTGTTAAAAATCCAACAACCCATGCAGTGTCCTATCCAGTGCTTAAATCAACTGCGTGTATCGCTTTCACATAATTACATATATTAGAGAAATAACGTTAGGGAGACAGTTTACCAATTGGTTAACTGAAAAAGATTTCTTGGCCGACAGCTAAATTTCATTCACCCAAAACAACTTAAAGGCATTCCATTCTCTCTGTGTTTTCACTTTAAACTGTTTATTAACGCCACTTAAACCATACTTTTTTCAACCCAAAGACCAAAAGTCTAAATGAGCAACAGTTGTTTACCAGCTACCATCTGTGCTCTGAGTGTTGGTGAGAGGTAGGGAGGGGGGAAGCCACATTAAGCTATTTTAATTGGTGACATTTAAAAGTTTACAGTTTTTAATGTGATTAATGTCACTGAACTGTACACTTTAAATTTGTTAAAATATTATATATATTTTAGCATACTATAAGATTACAAACACATGGTTTTAATACTAGGGTTATGTTGCAATCCAACATAACCAGTGTAAATTAATTGATGTATTTTTATCCAAAAGCAGTTTTTCAGGTGATGGTTTTAAAGAAGTGGTAACACACACCACCATACTAATCACGAGGTTCTCTCTTCTGGGCTTGGTCAATAATCCCAGTCACGAAAGAGCTGTGCAGGTGAGACTCACCTACAATTACTTTATTACTGAGAACACCTGAGCCATGTGTGACCAAAAAGCCAAAAATTACTAGGTTTTATTCAAAAGACTGTGGTGTTTTTATTTGCCTCACATATATATTAAAAAAAAATCCATAAAGTTCTAACAAGATTAACGCTTATTTTACCAAAAAAAGTTGGAAATTTAAAACACTCAGAGTCAAGCAAATCTACTTCAAGAATCATATTAAATATCTGCTTTATGACCTTCAGGAGACAAAGTATTTTTCTTTGAGATTCTGAATTATCTACTTCTTCAAGTCATCAAAATTTTTTTTGTAAACCTGGTAATAGGATTAAAAACGGAAAGGGTTTAAACAGTCTTACCTATGTAACTTGTATGACTGCGCATTCCACAAAACAACAGTTCCATCAGATGCCCCTGATACCAAACAAGTGGAGTCTGGGGAAAATCGGCAAACTCTCACAGGGCTACCACTGGGCTGTTCCATCACTGCCAAAATCTGTCCGTTTTGAGTATCCCATAGGACAGTGGTACCATCTGTTGAACATGAAGCCAAAATATGTCCTGAAGGCGAGAAACAGCAGCAGTGGACAGCATAGGTGTGAAACTTCAACGGAGAGTATGGCACTTCAGTAAAGTCACTCAGGGAGTACAGGCGAATTGTTTTGTCCAAGGAGCAAGTAGCCAAGAGGGAAGAGGAGAAGGCACAGCAGTTGACATCATCCTCATGACCTGCTAATGTGTGAAGGAGTTTCACCATGTTCTTTACTGGAAAATACCCTGCAGTTTTTAGATAAAGGTTACTTCATCCTAGGAATCAAATAAATACAACTCAAATCAATATAGAAGAGCCAAAATCAATTAAAAAACTTGATGAACAAAAGCTTCTACATTCACATTTTTAAAAGACAATAAATTATACCTGGCTAAGAATAATTTGGAGAGAAATAAAACATGTTAAGATTATAATCGCTGAAGATAAACACAATCACCAGCACCATGCCAATAAAGTTCCATAACTCCTGAAAAAGAACATGGTCAAGTAACTTCAAACTGATTTGACACTGTATATTCAAAACTCTGGGTTTTTATTTCACCTTTGAAGACTTTCCCTTTACGAACTGGTACTCAACACTGCCTCATTCCAGGTTTGCTAATTTCAAAAAGATTTTTCACTACTTTAACAAACTCTCGCTGCTCCTTCCATAGGATGGAGCCAAAAGTATTGCTCACCTTTAAGATGTAGAACTATTACAGTTAACTCATAAAACAAACAAAAGGTTTCCTCGTCAATTTAAGTGGCAGTGTTGAAAGCTATCATGTCACGGTATGTCATCTTGTATGACAAAGAATAAAAAGACATAAAAGATTTGAGGTGAAGAATTAATCTAATAAATTAAGGAAGCCAAAAGAAAGAGTGCCCCCCACCAAAAAAAGTGGACTTAGCCTGTCTGCACCTAAGACCAAATTTATAAATTCAGAATAAAATCCAAACTCCTCACCAAGACTTACCAAACCCTGTATGATCTGCTTCTCAGACCTCAACTCCTTCCCCTTTTCTTCTCCTTCCATTCTTTCCAGCCTCCCTAGTCAAAATGGTAACATCTAAGAGCTTCACAAAGTAGTTTTCTTAAGCTTAAATTCTCATGCCTCGGCTTCTGGGACATAATTTCTCATGTAAATTTCAATTTCCGTGTCCTTTTCCAGTGACTTTCCTAATCTAAAGTAGCACCTCTATAGGCTGGAACGTCACCTATTTTAATCATTGCCACCAGCTGACACTATTCATGTGTCTTCCCCTACTAAAACCACCAAAACCTACTAAGCACCAAAGTTGTACCTCTCATTTCAGTATCCACAGCATGTAAAAGTGTTTGCACCTAATATGGTTAAATATTTGTTGAATTAACATTTTCCCCCAAATCTAGTTGAGTTCTAGCCGCCTTTAAACATTACATATGCATACAATATGAAATAATCAGAGAATTGTTAATAAAAATAAAGGTACTAATACTAAAAAAAAAAAAAGTGGAAAAATGATGTAAAACGAGGCTAGAATCAGCCCTGAGGGACAGGTGTACCTTGAATTGTAAAATTAATCTTATTCTAACATTATTTACAGAAATCTTTACAAATAGATGAAACAAGGCTTTTCCAACATTTCTGATGTCAAAAGTTCGGCCTCTTTTTCAAACAAACTCCAACGAAGTCTAAAAAACAAACAGACCATCAAAACCCCTGGTATTTGCAGTGAAAACAAACCTAATCAGGTCGTCTTCTGGAGAAGTCCCAAATCTCAACTGTGCAAGTGCACAAAGATAATTTCCCAAACAAACTTTTGCTTCCTCACCCTTCTGCCACTCAGCTCTCTCTGAAGTTCAAGGTCCTAGAATCTGAAGAGCAGGGACGCAATCAGCAGAAGTTTGTTTGGCTTGGGGTGTGGGCGTCCACTCAGACCTCTGCCGACGCGCCAATCTCCCGGCAAACTAGATGAACTCTCCAGTGAGAACATTCGCGTCGCTGTCTATCGCAAAGCCAACCCGAAATGTGCCAAGAATCCTCCTACATAAAGCCAGCGACCTACTCCCCCACACCTACTTGGGGACCGAGGATTTGCTCAACTCCGAGAGCCAGTTGGGCCTCACTGGACCGAGCGACCCGCGGCAGGAACGCGGCCGGCGGGGAGCGCGGCCTTCTGGGGCGCGGGCACCGGCTCAAGGAACTGGGGGAACTGGGACTTCCACTTCACGCCGTGAGGGGCCCCCGGCTCCCGGGCGGAGGCTGCACAACAGTGTCTCGCTCTGGTCAAGATCCTAGCCGGTCCCGGTCGCGCGCTTAGAACCAGACGCCGAGAAACCAAGGGTTTAGACACCCCGGCGGGCTGACCCGAGCCGCGCTCCCGTACCTGCCACCGCTCCTACTAAACTGGCCTGTGGGCACTGGTCCTTTCAGGTCGAAGACCCCAGACGCCAGGGACCCGCCCTCAGGTGCGCTAAGAGCGCCGGGGGACACGTGATGCGCAGGTGAGGCGGGCGTGGTTGGCGCGGGCGGACGCCCTGAGGCGAAAGGACAGACCCCGCCCACCGGGGGGCGGTTCGCGCCGGGGCGCATGCGCGCCCTTCCGCCCTGTGATGAGGCGCTCTCTGAGTTCTGGCTCTAGGATTAAGATGAGTCCATTCTGGCAGAGAACCTTTGAAAAAGAAAGTGAAGTCACTCAGTCATGTCCGACTCTTTGCGACCCCTACCAGGCTCCTCTGTCCACAGAATTTTCCTGGCAAGAGTACTGGAGTGGGTTGCCATTTCCTTCTCCAGGGGATCTTCTCAACCCGGGGTTCAAACCCAGGTCTCCCGCATTGTAGCAGACGCTTTAACTGTCCGAGTCACCCGTTGAAAAACTTTTCTAGTTGTGGAAGCTGAGGTCCCAAGGTCTAGCGAGTCCAGAAATGTGATTTTAAAAGGGACAGTTACTACTACAGTTACTACAGCTGTTTTTGAGCCTCCGTGAAAGTGTTAGTCAGTCGTGTCCAGCCCTTTGTGACCCCATGGACAGATGGAATTCTCCAGGAAAGAGTACTGAAGTGGGTTGCCATTTCCTTCTCCAAGGGATCTTACTGACCAAGGTATTGAGCCCAGGTCTCCCGCACTGTAGGCAGACTCTTTACTGACTGAGCCACCCTCCTTGCTTTGCTGTATTTATCTTGCTTGGTCTGTTCTCTGATCTCCCGGATTGGTCTTTTCTGTTTAAGCCAGTTCTGAGCTCAGCAGTCCATGACTCCTGCCATCGCCTTTGTGGTCAGATATGTTTTTCCAAGGCAGAATGCTGAAAACGATATCCAGGCTATTCTGGATATCACGTGAACCCAATATGCATTTTTTCCTAGCGTTTCCAAGCGTCTCCTAAACTCACATGGAGCTTACACCGTGGTTTGCACGTGTAATTGATTACCAAGTAGTCTTGCCAACCCCTTTTGAGATAAAAAAAATTGACCAGAAAAAAGCTCCTAGGCGTATAACACTTAAGTACATGACACAGTATAGGACCATGTTCAGATTAAAATAAAAAGTGTAGCGTTTTCTTCAGCGAGGAAACTAGTCGTATTTGACAAGTAATAAAGGGCTTCCCAAGTGGCTCAGTGGTGGGGAAAAAAAAAATACGCCGGTCAATGCAGGAAACACAGGAGGTAGAGATTTTATCTCTGGGTCAGAAAGATACCCTGGAGTGGGAAATGGCAACCCATTTCTGTATTCTTGCCTGGAAAATTCCATGGACAGAGGAGCTGGCGGGCTGCAGTCCATGCCATTGCACAGAGTCGGAGGCGACTAAGCATACACAAACTAAAATACTCAAATTTAAACATAAAACTGAGATTGCTGGAAAAGATTTTTAATACAATAGACAAAGAGAAAAGGAGAAATAAAAATTCATGATTTGAGACACTCTTGTGATTTTTAACGAATGCATTATGATTGAGACTTTGAAACCTGATTACATGCCAAAGTACTGCCAAAACAGTATTTTTCTGAAAATAACTTTTTCATTGTATAGATAATAGAGCTCTCTATAGGAAACATAAAAACTACAAATAATGAGAATGACTAATAATCGCACCACTAAAAACCAGCCACTCAGTCTTTCATGAATAATACCAATAATTTTACAAAAAGACCTGTAAACTACGTTTTTCAAATTAGACTTGTATCCTGAGCATTTTCCATGTCTAAAATATCTTAGTAGTGTAATCATTTTTTCTGCCTAATGGTTCACAGACCCAGAAACATAATTTATTTAACATTTTCCCAGTTGTTTCAATATTTTTGTGCTTATTGTAAATAATACTGGATTCAATGACTTTGCACATAATTACTTCAGTGATGTTTGCTGAGTAAATTGATAGAAATGGAATTACTCGGCATCAGGGTGTAAATAGTTGCCATCTCGCTTTTCAGAGAGGTTGTATGGTTTTAACTCTCAGAAACATATGGTGGTCCCTGTCTCTCCACATTCTTGAGAGATTAATTTTTTTAAAGTTTTCACTAATTTGATAGGTAAGATTGATTATAACACTCTTCAAGTGAAATATGTAAAAGAAACCTCTGATACACAGGCCAGTAACAGCATAGAGACCTCAAGCCCAGTATGGTCTGAAAGAAAAAGAATTTCAAGGAGGGAAGCTTTATTGTGGCTGGTCTCTAGTCTACAACTTTACAATTTGGGAGATGTTAATTAACATATCTTGGCAATATACTAGAAAAACATTGTAAGAATTTACAGAGATATTTGATCATATGAGTGAATTGGTTATCTTACCTTATAGGACTAATAGTTGGAACTTTGACTTGGAATATTAAAGATTTGAATATTTTATATATTTTGCTCTAATTATTAATATGTAACTGTGGTCAATAATTAATCCTATTTTATTATTAATTTCTAGTTTGTTCCTTATAATAATAATGCTATTTGGGGAATACAGTAAACAATTTTAAGTGATACATTTAAAGGAAAGTTAACTTTCCAATTAAATAGTAAGCAATACATGTTCTCAAAATACAAGCCAGTGAGAAAAGAACAGGTGTGAATTAGTGAGTCAGGATTACTCAAATGTTTAGTCGAGAGTAACCAAGAACTCCGGAGAAGGCAATGGCAACCCACTCCAGTACTCTTGCCTGGAAAATCCCATGGACGGAGGAGCCTGGTGGGCTGCAGTCCATGGGGTTGGGAAGAGTCGGACATGACTGAGCGACTTCACTTTCATGCAT